GAGGGAGGGGAAGAAATGAGGACCTAATGCCGGGGGCTTAAGTGGACAGCAAAGATTTTGAGAATGATGAAGGCAATGAATGTACAAATGTGCCTTACACATTGATGTATGTATGGATTGTGATAAGAGTTGTATGAGCTCCTAATAAAATGATTGAAAAATAAAAATGAAATCAATAGATAAAAAAGGAACATTCTGGCATGGAAATTTGGAATTTACCATTTTCAAAAGCATGGCTTGGAGTAACCATTTTTGGAAACATGATTTCGAGTACAGAGGGGTGTGTGTATGCTGTAGGAAGGACCATTGACCATTGGTGTAGCTCTGTTTCTCTTTCTCCATTTCTTGACTGTTTTCTCATTTGAGGGAACTGTGGCTCAGAATGGCATATTATATCTTGGCTAGTGAAACGGGAGCTTTTAAAAGTTCATGGGGCGATGGAATTGAAATGCAATGGAGGTTTTCCCACTTTGTGAAAGGCCCTTCAGAGGGTGGTTGAGAGTGCTTAAAGCAACTCTAAACTGAAATGGGCTTTCTTGTAATTCCGTATTTTTTTCTTTATTCACTTTCAGTTTGATTAATAAGCTGAAACCTGGCATCATTAAGAAGATCAATAGACTCTCCACACCAATAGCAGGATTGGTAAGTAATGTATTAATGAGACTTCTTTGTCTTTGGAGTATATAAAGATGGACACATCCGGGTGGTCTCCTCTGCAGAGATGAGGTTTTGGTTTCTTTGTGCATGTTCAAGAAGAATGTTTTTGGTGGTGTCCTTGGGTCTGTAGATCCATTCTGTTTCATCTCTATCCATATCTATCTATCTCTATCTATCTATCTATCTATCTATCTATCTATCTATCTATCTATCTATCTAATAGTTTTATATCTATATTGGGTGTTGGGCATGCAAACTTCCTTTGTCTCTTTTCTTGAGGTATTTATTCCACATGTTACATTTGTTTAGGATCACATACTTTTTTTTTCTTTAAATTATTTTACTGGGGGCTTGTACAACTCTTATCACAATCCATACATACATCTTTTGTGTTAAGCATATTTGTACATTTGTTGCCCTCATCATTCTCAAAACA